ACACTCTCTTTTGCTTCTTCCCCCCAATTCTATAATTTCTCCAAAGATATTAGGGTTAGGAAAATGAAAGTTGGAGAAAATGCAGGAAATACACTTGTTCTACTCTGTCAATATCTCACCCCAGGTAAAGAAGTACCAAACTGGCTCCCCACTTGAGTGTGGAAGGGGGAAATAGGAAACCAAGAAGCAATGAAAATATGTAAATTAATATCTCAAAGTATTAACTAGCATAATCTCCTAGTTTTAAATTTTTGTGTCCTCAACAAAGAAAGTTTATTTTTGATCTATATTCAACTCTTTGAATAGCCTAGAGTCTGAATTTTTAATTTCCTTCCTTCCTTCCTTCCTTCCTTCCTTCCTTCCTTCCTTCCTTCCTTCCTATTCCTCACCCAAGGATATTTTTCCATTGAAAAATATTTTTCCATCCTCTCTCTTTTAGAAAGAATAGAAGAGAGAGAAAGACAGAGGAAAACACACCGATTGATTGTCTCCTGCACATGCTCTGACCAGGCCCAAGCCTGGGAGAAGCCTGCAATCAAGGTACATACTCTTGACCTGAATCAAACCCAGGACCCTTTGGTCCGCAGGCCAGTGTTATATCCACTGAGCCAAACTGGCTCGGGCTGAGTTTTTAATTTTCCAAAGCAGTAGGCACTGTCACTGACTCCCCAATATTCCCATTCTGTTCCATGATTAATTTAAACAATTCAGGGCAACTTACCCCTTTGTCAGTGATTGGTTCAGTGATTGGTTCAGGGATGGGCAAAGCTAATTTGGGTTAAGGAGATTCAAGGAGAGTCTTGGTAAGGGCAATGGGAAAGAAACTCCCTTATTCTTTTTTTTTTTTTTTTAAATATATTTTATTGATTTTTTTTACAGAGAGGAAGGGAGAGAGATAGCTAGAAATGTCGATGAGAGAGAAACATCGATCAGCTGCCTCCTGCATACCCCCTACCGGGGATGTGCCGGCAACCAATGTACATGCCCTTGACGGGAATCGAACTCAGGACCCCTCAGTCCTCAGACCGATGCTCTACCGCTGAGCCAAACCGGTTTCGGCTGCCTTAGTCTTTAATGCCATGGAAAGACAGGCTCTTTCTTCTCCTTTAGTGGTGAATAAGGAGGCACAGAGTTCCCACTGCTTCTGGCAGTCACGCCACACCCACAAAGATAATTGGATTTAGGTTAAAGTCAAAACTGTGGATGGCAGAGCAATGAGACAGAAGAACCTGTATCTTGATGTTCGATTATGGGATCCTGCCCTAACGCTGTTTAAACCAGTGGTGAGTTGGCTTTTCAGTGACTTGCTGTCAATCCATCCTTCCTGATACAGAATTTGGTGCCAAGAATAAAAGTGATGCAGCCGAAACCGATTTGGCTCAGTGGTAGAGCGTCGGTCTGCGGACTGAAAGGTCCTGGGTTCGATTCCGGTCAAGGGCATGTACGTTGGCTGTGGGCACATCCCCACCCAGTATGTGCAGGAGGCGGCTGGTTGATGTTTCTCTCTCATCGACGTTTCTGGCTCTCTATCTCTCTCCCTTTCTCTTTGTAAAAAAAAATCAATAAAAATACATAAAAAAAAAAAAAGAATAAAAGTGATGCAAATAACAGACTCAGTGGGTTGACATGCCCATGTTCTAACCCCTGGGATCCATGAATGTTAACTTATTTAGAATATAAGTTATTTTCAAATGTTACTAAGTTTTATTATTTTCAAGTTCAGCTGATGTTGAAGAGACACAAAGACATTTTAATAAAAAATTTTCACATTTACCTTTATTACATGACTATTCCTCAAGATAAAAAAAAAAGTCTTTTTCAATAGAATGTCATATGGCTCAGAAATTTAAGGTATATTTTTAAAAAATCAGTTCCATGACTTATTTCACAATGTTACTAATTTCAGACATGTATTCTCCTATAACTGAAACCCTAGCCTGGGGATCTGAACACCTGTCTTGGTCACTGCGCTGTGGCGGGGGTGGGGGGGTGCGGGGGTGGGGGAGGGACTTTGAATGGGGCCCATCCTCCTCTGAACATTATGACTTCTCTGGGCTACCAACAGTTCCCGAGTGCCTAGGTGCCTCAGGACCTCAGGTTTGTATTACAAATGCAGATTTCTGGGCCCCATCCCAAGTCTACAGAATATTTTCTGACGTCGAGGCCTAGGAATATGTATTTTTAATTAACCAGGAGAGTTTGGGAACCACTGAATTAGGAGATTTTCTTATTTGTGTTTTCTTTTATCACCATTTGTCTCATCTTTGCTACTAGACACTGTGGTAGAAAGCAAAAACAAAACCACAAAACAAATCAAGACCATGATTTAATCATCGTATGACCTTCCAGCCCCTACACAATGCCTGGTTTGTAGTAGGCACTCAATAAATATTTGAAGAATTAATTAATGCTGATGAAATAAATAAATATTATCTCATGTGGATCCCAATCACCTATGGATAGAGGAGCTTAAAAGTCAGAAAAATATTATAAACTTTTGCCTGGTTAATCTTGTACTCCCTATGATTAACCTTGTCTGCCTTACTACATACTTTAAATAATGGGTTATGTGAAAGAGGTTAATGGTTGAGATTCTTCTGTTGGCTGGATTATGTCACAATATTTCCCAGTGGCAGTGACAACTGAGGGAGGTATGTGATGCAGCAGGAACTAGTTATCCTCCTTGATTTTTCCCGGTCCAGAAAAGGCTATATTCTGACCAGGTGACAGAGGTTCTTGGGACCATGCTGTGGGTCTTTGAACTTACAAAGGTGTCTCTGGTTTCTGTGTTGCTCAGTGAGTGGGAAAAGGGTTCCTCTTCTGTTAGAAATTACCCATAAATTCACCAGCAATGGGTGTCAGACAAACAAAGTACCCCCAGAATATCTGATGCCACCTCTTGTGACCCCTTAGTCCCTTCTCCCAGGCCCCTCCTCTGCACTCCAATGACCACTCCTTGGGCTTTCTCGGCTCAGACACTGTCTGCTGGCCTTGGAAGGTACCGGCTCAGGATGAAATCTGTCACAGGGGTGGGCAGCTTAGCCAAGGGGAGATAGAGGAGCTTGGCATCCAGGCCAGGGTTGTAGCGGATGCGGGGGCTCCGGGAAACGACGGCGTGCTCCATGCTGTTGACGACATCTCTGATTCTTGGCTCTGCCAGCATCATCATGTTTGATAGATTGTCAGAATCTGTTGGAGGGAGAGAGGGGGGAATAAAAGGCTTTATTGTTCTTCACTAAAAATAGTTCCTTCTGAATTTCATCCAAGCTCTCTTTCCATCACACCCTTTCAGGCAGAGGAACCACACCCTCCAGGTTAACCTTATACAAATACCCGGTAAATAATATAATTTCTCTTCTTGAATTCAAGAATTGTGTATTGTACTAATTCAATATGCTTCCAAGATATGGAAGCAACCAAGTGCCCATCAATGTACAAGTGGATAGAATATATACAATGGAGTATTACTTGGCCATAAAAAAGAATAAAATCTTACCATTTAGGACAACAGGAATGGATGTAGAGGGTATTATGTTAAGTGAAATAAGTCAGACAACTGAAACTGGTTTGGCTCAGTGGATAGAGCATCAGCCTGCAGACTGAAAGGTCCCAGGTTCAATTCTGGTCAAGGGCATGTACCTTGGTTGTGGGCACATCCTCAGTAGGGGGTGTGCAAGAGGCAGCTGATTGATGATTCTCTCTCATCGATATTTCTAACTATCCCTCTCTCTTCCTCTCTGTAAAAAAATCAATAAAATATATTTTAAAAAATAAGTCAGACAGAGAAAGACAAATACCATGTGATTTAATTTATACGTGGAATCTAAAGAATAAAATAAATGCACAAAGAAAATAGAAACAGAGTCATAGATACAAAGATCAGACTGTTGGTTGGCAGAGGGAGGCAGTGTGGAGAGTGAGATGAAAAAGGTGAAGGGATTAAGAATTACAAATTGGTAGTCACAAAATAGTCAAAAGGATATAAAGTACAGCATAGGGAATATAGTCAATAATATTGTAATAAGTATGTACAGTGCCAAGTAGTTACTTGAAATATAAGGGGGGGATCATTTTGAAGAGTATATGATTGACTAACCACTATATTGTACATGTGAAACTAATATAATATTTAATGTAAACTGTAATTGAAAAAAAGTGTATTGAATTCCTATTATTGTGTTAGACTAGCAACAGAAAAACTGTGCCACTTATTCACCGTGTGACCTTGAGCTTAAACTGTCATCATCTGTGAAATGGTAATAATAATACCTGTACTAGAGAATATGGTAATAGCAGGGTAGACAGTGGAAGATGACAGAATAGAAAACAAACGTATGTAAGTGCATAGAGAAATTGGAAGGAAGGAAGTAAAAATATTGTCTGGCTAGTGAAATTCCCAGTTACTGGAGTATTTTTCTCTCCTACTTACTCCCTAGAGTTCCTGAATTTTGTACAAAAGCATTCAGGAAAAAAATGTTGTTAGAAAATATTGTAGTAACATTGGTCTGGCCTTTGTAACTCATGCCTTTGTCATTCCTTCACTGGATTTCTGCAACAGCCTCCCAGCTGGCCTCATGTCTCCAACCTCAACCTTCCCACACGCAGATCTGATCAGGTCAGGTCAGAGCCATTTGAAAGGCTCTCCAATGCCTTCAGGATAAGAGTCTCTCTCCTTAGTGGAGCCATCAAAACCACCCATGGCCGAAACCGGGTTGGCTCAGTGGATAGAGCATCGACCTGCAGACTGAAAGGTCCCAAGTTCGATTCTGGTCAAGGGTATGCCCCTTGGTTTCAGGCACATCCCCAGTAGGGGGTGTGCAAGAGGCAGCTGATCGATGATTCTCTCTCATCGATGTTTCTAACTCTCTATCCCTCTCTCTTCCTCACTATAAAAATCAATAAAATATATTTAAAACAAAACAAAACAAAATCTCCCCTAATCTGACTCTAAATCTCTCCTACCCCCATCTTCCACCACAACCCCGTCTCACTTCCCCCAGTCCAACTCCCCTCAGTACTAACAATGACGGCTAATGTTTAATTCTCCAGACAATCCAGGAGAGAGGAATGATTGTATTTTATAATGAAGAAACTGAAGTTTAGACAGTTGTGTAACGTAGTTGGAAGGACAGCTGAACAATCTAACCTCTGAATCCATACCGTCTCCAGAGGAATGATAGCAGTTTTTTGACAAGTGGTTTTCAGAGGAAGTTTGTCTTTCTGCATATGCTTTTAAGGCCCGAAAAAGACCACGATTTCTGCCTGCGCTGAGGCAGAATAGAGCCCTGCTGCTTGATCTGCTCCCAGTCCCGGCCTCACAGGGTGCCTGGCATGGGGTGGGCTCTCAATCAAATGTGCAATAAGGGGACAAATGGTTCTTGTGGTTTTGGCAACTTGGCTCTTTACTCTGTTTGTGTATGCTGCTCAGGAGACCATGCCAGGCCGTTAGATACCTGCCATGCATTTGATTGAGTGGTTACACAGAACCCATTCAGACTTTCTGGGTATATTTAAAAAATGCATCACTTTGGATTTTGGACAATTACTAACTAAGACTCTCTCTTTGCCATACAGAACGTATAGCTTGTAGGTATCAGTGTAATGGAGCTGGTCGAGAAGGAGGCTATACACAGTCTAAGGGAGGGTAAAAACCACTTTTAAATCAAACTGTTCCTATCAGGGGTCAGGCAATCTAAACATCTTATATATAGGATGTCAACCCTCCCAAAATGTATACACACTTTAACAGCAGATAACTCAATTTTTAAAATGAAATGTATTTTAATAAATACTGCCTTTATAAGTATTCAATGTGTGTGTGTGTGTGTACATTTTTGGGGACACCCTATATATTAACTCATTGAATTCTCATAACTCATTACAGATGAGAAAACTGAGTAACTTGCCCAAGACAAATTTCCTCAGAGCTGAAATTTGCACTCAGGCAGCCCAGTTCCAGAGCCTTAGCTTAGCCACCATAGTAAATTGTCTTTCAGAGGTTGTCCACGGAAGGCAAGTAGAGAGAGGGGGAAGCCGGGCTAGGGGAATGCATAACTACACTGCTGAGGTCCAAAGGGAGTGGGAACGGGGCTGAGCCTGGCTGCTTCACTCGGGGCCCAAGAGAACCTCCTGAACCAGCCAAGCGCCAGCCCCACCTTCTTGGCTGGCAACTAGGTCACAGAGCAGTGCCTGCCAAGGAGGTGGCAGCTGCTTGTGCCAGAGCCAATTTCTGTTGGCAGGCCAGAGTCTGCCCCTCACAACGGCAGCTCCAGAGGTGGCTCCGAGGTGTTTGGAGCCCAAGGAATGGAGAGAAGTAGGAAGTCTTCTGGATCATCCTCTCCTGCAATCAAACCTCAGCTTTGAGATGAGATGACCTGAGAGAACATTGGGACTTCTCTCTCCTACCATGAGGTGCCCTAGAAGGTCGTTTGGTCAATTCCTCCTCCACTGCACCCCCAGGCCACCCCCTCCTCTTGAGCCCCAATGGCTGGAGCTCCATTCATTCCTCAATCTGGAAGAAATGCACAAAGTTTGGGGACGGTATAGAAAACAATGATAATGACCCTCCTCTACTCTCCTGAGGTTCACAGGAGACCCTTAGCTCAGAGAGGAAGAGAGCTGCCTTAAATACTCGTGTGCTCCTTTTCCTCTGTATTCATGTCACAGGCATTTAGTGTGTGCGGGACATTTCACAGATATTCATCCTCATAGCAGCCCTGTGAGGCAGGCCTATCATTAGCTCCATTTTATGAATGAGAAAACTGCGGCATAGCATGGCTAGGTATTATGCCCAAAGTCTCCTAGCTGGCAAGGGCTAGAGGCAGGATTCAGATCCAGGCAATCTGGCTCAAGCAGCTGTGCTCTTAATAACTTTTCTACTTATGTCAGTGCATCTTCAGCTGATTTGATAGCTTAATGGCTTTTGGAGTTGGGTGGGCAGGTGCCAGGAGTGGGCAGCATCCTTGGACAGCTTAGCCACAATACTAAACTGTCTTTCAGAGGTTGTTCATGGAAGCCGTCCTCATGCTCCCATCTCCCCAACAGCTATAGTTCTGTCACTCCCAGCAGTTGCCCACTTGCTCTCTGTTCTCAAAATCCCAGCCCTTCACCCCTCTGAGCCTCCATCCCATCATCTGGGAAAATGAAAGTGACTCCCAAGATCACATGTGTCAAACACAAGGCCCGCGGGCCAAATCCGTCACGCCAGGCCTTGCAATGTGGCCCGCACCGCGCTGTCATCACTGCACTCCGCTGCGTTTCCATCACAATGACAGTTTATGACTGTTCAGTAAACCATTCGGCCCGCGATTTAGGCTGGATTTTAGATTTTGGCCCCTTCTCTGATTGAGTTCGACACCCCTACCCAAGATCTCCCTGTCCCTCTCAGAGACCCCTCTCCCCGTGAGGGAAACTCACAGATTTGGAAGTACTCCTCTCCGTAGCTATCCCGGGTCTCCTGAGGCAGCCGATCCCACAGCTTCTGCAAGTGCAGCTTCATGTTTTGCTGGCCCAGAATGGATGTCCGATAGTTCCCCGGCTCAATGATGCTGACTTTCACCCCAAAGTAGTAGAGCTCACGCCTGGGGAAGAAGAGTTGGATTCAGCCTGAGACCCCAAGATAACACAAGGTCATCAGAGAAAGTCACTTCTGACACCTCTATAGGTGCTGATCTCCCCCAGGAGACTGGAGGTGTCCTCCCTATCTTGCACCAGGCCAGGTTTTGCTTTCATGCAAGTAAGCCCTGTTATAGGGCCTCAGTCCTTTTCCAAGCTTGGTCTCTGGGCAATTCACATTAGGTAAATCCAGCAGGAGGAAGTTAACAAAGAATCTAGACTAAAGCCTGACCTCCCACCAGGTCCCTCCCACTCAGCCCCACACCCAACATTCAACATGGCAAAGGGAATGAGAGGTCAATGCAAAGCTTGCATTCTCCTCTGAGGGTCTCCCATGAGCATATCTGTTCCCAGGCCTCTCTGTCTGTTTGAGTGACAATCCTGCTTGCTCCCACAGGCCCAAACACGGTTTCACTTATTCTGGAACAGCTCAAAAGGGAAGGCACCACTCCACTTTTTCTCCTCATCCTTTATTCTTTTGGTCCTTGGGGAAGGCCTCCCGAGGGCTAGCCTTCTTCCTACTATTACTTTATTTTCCTCTCTTCAGAGCTCCCCTGCCCACATGCTGCTGTTCTCCCCAACCCAGCCCTCTCTTCTTGAGGTGAAACCCCAGGACTCCCACCCAGAGCGGTTTGGTACCCAGTCACCTGATGCTGTCAGAGAAGGCCTCAACACCAAACTTGGAGACACAGTAGCCACCGCCAATAACAGCTATACGACCACCAGAGCTGGACATGTTGACAACCCTGCCCCGGGCCTTCTTGACCATGGGCAGCATGTGGAGGGTCACGTCAATCAGTCCCACCAGGTTCACATTGATCACCTTCACAAAGTCCTTTTTCGTCAGCCATTCATTGGGGCCACTGGGCAGGCCCACACCAGCATTGTTCACCAGGGCCCAGAGGCCTAGGGGCAAGACAGGGAGAGAGAGAACCACACAGAAATCAGCAGTGTCTCTGGGAAAGTACCACGGTCTACCACCCAGCAGCTCAGGGAGTTGAGGATGGTTGAGCAGGAGCACAAAGCACAAGGCAGCCAGGCTAAGGCCTGGGGTGAGGAGTTAGGACAACCCAAAAAGATGTGCTTTTACTAATTAGTTTTCCCTAAAGGGGCATTTTTTTCTGATTCACATAGTCTGCCAGCTAGTTGGACCCTGTACCAGCTAACAATCCAGGCTTTAGCTAATGGCATCTAAGCCATTAGCTCTGGGAAAAGGGACATTATTTTCATACCAACGAGTAAATGTTTTAATTCTTTCCCCCATTATGCTCCCCCCCGCCGTGTTCCCCTGATTATAAGAAACCAACTCTATTACACACATTACCAAAATTACTTCATTCATTCATCCAATCACACATTCATTTATTAATTCATGCACCTATTCTGTCAGTTACAGAGGAAGGTGCTAAAGACAAAGTGAACAAGACAGGGACTTATCCCCGAAAGAGCTCACAAACCAGAGAAGAAATAAATAACAGCTATACACAAATATATGAAGCATTTAAATAATGATGGGAAAAGTATGAAAAGGGCTCTCTGAGATCATTAAATTGAGTTGGTATATATGGAGAGAAATAATGCTAAGTATTGTCTTTCATCTCTGCAGGGACCCAGGCTTGAAGAGCTCAAGTTCAAGTTCTGGTTCTACCTCCAGCCTTGGACAAGTCACTTGCTCTCTCTGGACCTCAGATTTTGTGTTGACTGAGCTAGATTAGTTGTTTCCATCCTGTGGTTTGCAATCCCGGAGTTTCCCAGGCTAAACCTCAGGACCTACTAAGGGAAGGAGATATAGGAGAAACTCAACTTCCATTTGTTTTACATATTGAACTACCAAGTAAAATTCTACTTGGAGGAGGGTGTTTGGTGCTAAGAACATGTTGGAAAAACCTCTAAATGATCCCTAAGGAGGACTTCCAGGCTTTTCATTCAGGGATTCCATGAGCCCCTGGCTCCTTCCCTTCCCCATCTCCATATCACCACCCACTTCCCTGGCTCCTTCCCTTCTCCATCTCCATATCACCACCCACTTCCCTGGCTCCTTCCCTTCCCCAGCTCCATATCACCACCCACTTCCCTGGCTCCTTCCCTTCCCCATCTCCATATCACCACCCACTTCCCTGGCTCCTTCCCTTCCCCATCTCCATAGCACCACCCACTTCCCTGGCTCCTTCCCTTCCCCATCTCCATAGCACCACCCACTTCCCTGGCTCCTTCCCTTCCCCATCTCCATAGCACCACCCACTTCCCTGGCTCCTTCCCTTCCCCATCTCCATATCACCACCCACTTCCCTGGCTCCTTCCCTTCCCCATCTCCATAGCACCACCCACTTCCCTGGCTCCTTCCCTTCCCCATCTCCATAGCACCACCCACTTCCCTGGCTCCTTCCCTTCCCCATCTCCATATCACCACCCACTTCCCTGGCTCCTTCCCTTCCCCATCTCCATATCACCACCCACGTCCCTGGCTCCTTCCCTTCCCCATCTCCATATCACCACCCCTCCTTGGTTTCTGCAGCCTCAAGTACAACTCTGGGCACCCTTTCCACTTTTTCCTGAGGGCAGGTCTGAATGTGAACACCACTGGTGGGCCACCCCTTCCCCTGCTCCTGGGCTCCATACAAAAGCCTCACTCTATCTTCCTGACCTCCTCTAACTAGAGAGGCCCCCGGAGACCAACTGAGCCAGACTCGGAACCTTCTCAAAGGGGACTCTCTTGTTTTCAAAGGAGGAAATGTGGCTCCCGAGACCCAAAGACTATAAAACCCAAGTGGTCTCTGCCTGTGGAGAAAAAAATTCACACTCACCACTACCTCTAATCATCCCTGGCAAACAACTCAGCCTGCTGGGGAATCAGGACTATATATATATATTATATATATATATATATATATATATATATATATATATATATATATATATTAAGGTGACCAGACGTCCTGCTTTTGGTGGGACAGTCCCGATTTTTAACAATTTGTCCCGAGTCCCTTGGCATTTTAAAAAAGTCCTGATTTTTGGAAAGATATATATATATATATATATATATATATATATATATATATATATATATATATATATATATTTTTTTTTTTCCTCCCCCTGCAAAGAGCAACTAGAGAACTGTCAGAGCAGTGAGAATAGCTTCAGGGTCAACCTGTCATGTCCACAGACTCTCAGGGAAAATAAGAAAGTATGCCAGAATCCCCTCCCTCCCATTTCCCAATGCTCCTTAGACCAAGGATGTTGTTCCCCAAAGATGTGCCCATATTAATCCCTGGAACCTGTGACTATGGTAAGTTACACAGGAAAGAGGATTAAGGTAGCAGATGAAATTCAAATTGCTAATCCACTGACCTTAAAATGGGAAGATTTTCCTGAATTAGCCAGGTGAGCCCAATATAATCACAAGGCCCTCCTAAGTGGGAGAGGGAGGCAGAAGACAGAACCAGAGACATAGCCGTGTGAAAAGGAGCCGACCTGACCTCCCTGGCTTTGCAGATAGAAGAGTCGGGAGCCAAGGAATGCCCGCCGCCTCTGGAGGCAGGAAAAGGCAATGAGACGGACTCTCCCCGGAGCCTCCTGAAGGGTCACAGCTCTGCTGACACCTTGATGTTAGCCCAGTGAGACCCATTTTGGACTTCTGATCTCCAGAACTACAAGATAATAAATTTTCTGCTGTTTTAAGGAACTACATTTATGCTCGTTGATTACATCAGCAACAGTAAATTAATATACCCAGTGAATCATTAACACAAGTGACCCAGGTTGAGGCAGCCAGTTGAAAAAAAAAAAAAAAAAAAGACTCACTCTTGCTGAGTTATTTATTACTTAGTTCATCCAACAAATATTTGGCACCTTACTAGATGCCAGACACTATTCTAAGTACTAGGGATATATAGTAAATAAAAGAGACAAAAAGCCATGCCCACCCTCTTCCCTCTGAAGCTTTATCTCAGCAGGGGAAAAAGACAATTAAACAAACAAACAAACAAACAAACAATGGCTAATGGATACAGGTAAGTGCTAAGGAGGAAAATAAAATTATTGCATGGCTCCTCCTGGGTCCCAAGGCTCTCTTGCCCCCACCTGTGTGGACCTCTGACTAGTTCCCTTAGGGTCAGGACTACACCCCTAGGCTGCTGCTTCTACAAAGAGCCAGCCTGTTCCTTCTGTCACACCCTTCGTGCAGGAAGCGCCCTGGGCCGGTGCTTAGCAATCCTGGTCCAGCACCAGCCCCAGCCCACAGCCTCCTTTCCCAATAGGATGAGCCACTCTGATGTCAGCACTTACTCTGAGTTCATCCCAATTCCACCGTGATGTGAGGATCCAGCCTGACAGTCCAGGAGAGCAAACACCTCCACTCCAGGAATCTGACCTCACATTCCCGTCTGCCTTCCCCCAGCCTGAGCCTGACAAGAGCTGATGGTCAGGACTACGAGAGAAGAAGAAAGGCCCAGAGAAGAAACTCCATCTTTAGAGTCTGGACATACAGAACACACCTTTTCTTCCTACCTCCTATGACAACCTCCCTCCAGCCCTCCAAGTATCTGGGGAGAAACTTCCTGGGGAAATCAGCCCTTCGTGTGGACAGATCAAACCATGCAACAGTTTCCAGTCCCACTCGGCCAGAGCCTCAGCCCCTTTCTCTCCATCAGCTCTCCCACCCCATCTGAACAACAGGGTTAACGGTCAGATGCCCGTAGGAGAAAGAGAGAGAAAGGATAAGCTGAGAAAGCTAAAGAATACAATTCGCCCCACCTTGCTCGCCCACTTGGTCCCTCACCCACTGGGCCGCCTCCTGAACACTCTCACTCTTGGTGACATCCAAGAGGATGGTCTGCAGCCGGTAGGAGGTGTCTTGTCGAAGCTTCTGGGCTCCCTCCTCAGTGAGACATGCAGCCAGCACCCGCATGCCTCGATCAACCAACTGCTTGGCCAGTTGGTTCCCGAAGCCCGAGTCACAGCCTGTGATGAAGACATACTTGTCTGAGAGGTTGCGGACAAGGTTGCAGTTCTTGAACCAGCGGTACATAAAGGAGAGGTCCGTGAGAGCCGCCATGGGGCAAGGAGGAGGTGATGGCCAAGAAGGATCCGGCCCAGGAGGCGGCAGGAGAGGCTGCTCCTCTGACCCCGAGCTGGCAGTCTGCGGAGCCTGCGGAGCAGAGCTCTCCTCCCTTCCACGCCTGGCAACACACACGGCCTCTGAGGGAGCCACTCTATAATTTTTATAGGTGGATGGATGCATCACCACACCAATTAGCCTGGATGCAAGAAATTCAAGTCTAACCTGAAGCCCTGTCACGACAGATAGCCCTGGTGGCTGCCCTTCTCTCTCCCCGAGCCCTGATGGGTGAAGGTGCCAAGGATGGGAAGACCTCAGTGTTGATGTTGAGGCGGAGAGGTGGCTCCCCTGGGTGGTCTGAGCAGGATAAATGAGAAAGGAGGACTTGGCCCAGAAAGCGTCCTTGGAAATCCCCCACTTCTGGTCTAGGGATCAAAATCATTTGTTAGGAGGATAGGCATGTAAATAAACTTAATTTCTATTTTTAGAGGAAAAAACTAAGACAGATTCATTAATGTAAAACAAACAAAATTGGTTTTGTGCCTTCCAAACCCGAAGAGGAATTGATTCCAGGTTATTAGCTCTTTGGAATTCTCTGCCCGTAGGTGAGTCTCCATTATGAGAGATGATGAAAAAAAAGGTTCTCTCAGGATAGATATGCCTTCTGAAGCCAGAGGCAGCATGCCCCTCCTGGAAAGAGGGCTGGAAGCTCCAACTCCTAGAAAGCAGAAAGATTGGGAGCCTCAGGATCTGGGTTCTTGGGAAGTAGTACTCAAGTTGCCAGTGAAGAACCGCACTGCACTCCAAGCAGGCTTAGCTCTAATCGTCAGGCAAATGAAGAGAATCAAGGACTGAGGACACAGGGCCCGCACAGGATATTTTGTTGTTAATCCTCACCTGAGGATATTTTTCTATTGACTTTTAGAGAGAGTGGAAGGGAGGGGGAGAGACAGAGAGAAAACACGTGAGAGAGACACATCAATTGAGGGCTGGGGATCGAGGGCTGGGGATCGAGCCTGCAATTAAGATACGTGCCCTTGACTGGAATCAAACCTGGGACCCTTCAATATGAAGGCCGATGCTCTATCCACTGAGCTAAACCAACTAGGGCCCCACTGGGCATTTTTCTTCTACCCCCAGGACCAGACACACACAAGGTGATCGATCTGGTATCCTGGGGATCCTGGCAGGTGGGGTGGTGATGGTAGGGGGAAAGGGATTATGAAGTCAATTGGCACAGTGCTAGTTGGATGTACAGAGGGAAGGGAGGCCAGGAATTGAAGTAATTTTAAGGTATGGGGCTGATAACAGGTAGGATCATAGGTGGTAAGAGTGATGAGGAGCGACTAGTTGGGCGTAGGGAAGGAAGGCCAGAGAAGAGAGAGAGTTCCGATATGAATATCAATGAGATGAGGTCTAGCCAGATGATGAGGATTGGTCCTGAGTTCCCTGAGCAGCTGCAGAAAGGCTCTGGGGCTGAGTCCGTGGCACTAATAGGAAATGACATCTGGGAAAAGCAGAGGACTGGGGCCAGATGCTTGGAAAATTCTCAGGGTCAGGACTTGGGAAGGAGGGTGAGATTCTAAGCAATAGGGCAAAGAAGTCATAGAAAGGTTGGAGGGAAGCTGGTAAAGATAAGGAAGTAAGGTGATGAGACAGAGGTGTGAGTAGTGAGTGGTCACACCCAGGATTACATCAGACGCAGAGACAGAATGATGCCAGAGTTTACAGTGCTAGAGTCTTTGGCTAAACCTCTAGGGTCACCAGCTCATTCCCAGAGACACAGGGCCAACTGCCCATACCTTCCCTGTCTAGAGGGTCTGACACAAAGATCACTAGAGTGAAGGGTCAAGGATGCATCTCTGTGCTCCACGATCGACCAAGGTAGGTCAGCTCCCGAATCAGATAAAGCAGGTGGAAAAGGCCAATGAGCTTGGCCACTCTATACCACGGGTGAGGGGAGGAGGGTCAGCTCATGGGCCTATCTTTGGGGAACAAACCCAAGGCCTGTATAGGAAGTGATAGAAGCAAACCTCACCTCCTTCATAAGCACTCGAAGGCATAACACCTCCTACACTGGATCTAGGAGGCATTTCCCAACTCTGCTTCCTGGGTGAGTGAACAGGGAAGTCTTGATTGGGAGATGTCAGATAATGTCACTTGAGGGCTGAGCAGGCTCAGGAGTATCCCAGCTCTTGAGAAGACAGGTGAGACCCAGGGGTTGGCTTGAATCTTGAGACTGCCCCAGCACAGGCCAGCACCTGACTCACCACTTCATGGGTCTCTCTGTTGACTGCTGGCTAAGACAGTGCTCTCCTGGGCTCAAACTCCTAACATCACAAAATCCAGGCCATGGATGGATGCTTGGAGTGCTGCAGGACCACACAGTAGGCTCTTTTCTTAGAGTTGGGAAGGCCTCCCGCTCTCAGCAGGACTTCCTGCTAAGTTGGCACCTGCAGCTGATGGGTCAGCCTGGTGGTTGCCCTCCATACCTCTCCCTCTGACCACAGGTATCTTCAGTGGAGAGGGACCTTACCTTCACCAGGCCATTTCCATCCTGTGGGAGGGGGAGACTGGCCAAGGCCAAGGCACACTCTGAGGAGATAAACAGGCAGAGAAGATGGGGCTGAGCCCCTTTCCAGTGTTCATTCCTTCCCAAAAGAGTGAGTTCAGGGCCATGAGGCTCAGAACCTTGAGAAGCTGCTTAAGGAACAAGGCACGTATTGTGTGCTTTTGGATCCCTGTTCCTCAGCCTCAAAACAGTTCTTTTCTCCTAATTTCCTCTGAGTCCTAGGGGAAGCCTGAGGCAGAGGTAAGGTGGAGGGTAAGCCACACGATCCTAGAGACTGGAGTGCTCACTCTCTCCACCCTATTTTCTTCCCCATAAAGCATCAACCCTCACATCGCACCCCAACTAGATCCTCCACATACCCCAGTCTTGGTTTCACAGGGCATTGGCAGGATTTGGGGAGCTCCAGTGGATCATAGCACCCACCAGGAAGTAAAGCACATAATTCATGGAGAGGAAGGTGAGCTTGATCTCCCAGCCAGGTGCACTTCATGCAGTTCTCACCAACGATAAATTCAACTTGCATTTTTTTCAAAATATTTTTATTTATTTATTTATTTATTTTTAAATCAATCTTTATTGTTCAAATTGTTACAAAGGTTCCTCATTTCTTCCCCCCTCCACCAGGTTCCCATCCCACAATCTGCCCCCTCCCCATCCCCCATTGTCCTCATCCATAGGTGCAGTTTATGTTCAGTCTCTTCCTCCCTTCCTTTCCGTGATAGTAAATCCCTTTTTCAGATAGTAAATCAGTTACTTAGCATTTTCTCATATCAATAATACCACCACATGCCCAATGATACATTTCACACAAAAGACATTTCCAAATAGGTCAAACAGCCTCATCCAGGCCCCACCCAAGGCACTCACAGATCAACACCCCAGCCCTATACTAACTCAACACATCCAGATCTAAGCCTTCATCACTTGATTCAGCAGACCCTCAAGTTCCCACAAAAGTTTCCAGCCATGTCTGAGAGGCAGCTGTGGGGCAGGGGCAGGTGAAGAGCGAGCTGTTCCAGGCCTGGCTGTTCTGGGCCTGGCCTCTGTTGCTCTGGTTCGTTCCACAACCAGCTGCTCCGGGTCTGGTCACCGCCGCTCCCGACCTAGTTGCTCTGGACCTGGCTGCTGCTGCTCCGGGCCTGGCCACACCTGACCCGGCTGCTCCGGGCCTGGACGCACCAGACCCGGCTGCTCCGGGCCTGGCCGCTCCCAGCCTGGTAGCCGCTGCACCGGGCCTGGCCGCACAAGACCCGGCTGCTCCGGGCCTGGCCGCTCCCAGCCTGGCAGCCGCTGCTCTGGGCCTGGCCGCTCCCAGCCTGGCAGCCGCTGCTCTGGGCCTGGCCACACCAGACCCGGCTGCTCCGGGCCTGGCCGCTCCCAGCCTGGCAGCCGCTGCTCCAGGCCTGGCCGCACCAGACCCGGCTGCTCTGGGCCCGGCTGCCCCGGGCCCGGCCGCTCCGAGTCTGGCCGCTCCCAGCCTGGATGCTTCGGGCTTGGCTACTGCTCTTCTGGACCTGGCTGCTCCCAACCCGGCTGCTCTGGGCCCGGCTTCTTCGGGCCCGGCCACTCCGGGTCTGGGTGTTCCTGGACTGGCCTCCCTGGGCTTGGCTGCCTCTGCCTCAGGCCTGGCTGCCACTGCCCCAGGTCTGGCTGCTCCAGTGCTGGCTGTTGTTGCTCTGGTTCTGGCTGCTGCTGCTCTGGGGCCTGGCTGTTGCTGCTCTGGGCCCGGTTGCCATTGCTTTGTGCCTGGGCACTCTAGGCCTGGCCGCCGCTGTTCCAACATTCTGTCCTTTTTTTTTTTTTTTTTTTTTTTTAAATGCATTTATGTTGCAATGTTGGCTGGTGAGTTGAGTTCTGACTTAGTCTTTGAATTCTCAAGATCTTCTTTGTATTCTTTCTTAAGTAATTTTACTATCTTTTGCTCTCACTTGATGTCTTCACATTGAGAACTTTGGTTTCTTCCTCCTGTCCTGGGAGCTCAGCAGGTTGGCCTGTGGCACCCCTTTGTTCTCCGCGGGCTCCTGCTCTGCTCCAGCCTGTTGCCGGGGTTGGCGCCGCCCAGGAAGCAGCCCCCGGCCTTGGCTCCGTTGCCTGTGCTCAGAGGTTGATGGCTCAGGGGCACCCCCCCCCTGGGAGCCCCGTCGCCCGGCTCCCTTCTGGCGCCCGGCTGGCTGGTGTCTGGCAGGGGCTCCTGCTCCCTGTCGCATTCCTCCAGTCTGGAGCTTTTTTTCCCCTCCTTCCCGTTAGGGGAGTCCAGGAGCAGAGTCAACAGACTGTCCTCTGCGCGCAGTGCGCGAGACTCCGGGGGCTCCGCTTTTCGCCACTCCCCTGAGATTCCGCCTCACAGCCCCGTCTCCCCCTGCCCGAGCCTGGGTCCCCAGGGTCTGGTCCAGGACTGGGGTTCAGAGCAGTCCGGACTGAGGCTCAGCGCCGCCGGAGGCTTTGTTTCTTCCTGCTAGGGTAATCCAGCATCAGAGTCAACATTCAGTCCTCTGCGCACAATGTGCTCGTGACTCCGGGGGCCCTGCTTTTCACTGCTCGCTTGGGATTCCGCCTCACAGCCCCGTCTCCCCCTGCCGGAGCCTGGGTCCCCAGGGTCTGGCTCATAACTGGGGGTCAGCGCCGCCGATTCCGGGGTTTAGCCCAGGCTGGGGGTTTTATTTCCTTCCTGCTAGGGAATACCAGGCAGCACCCAGCCCTCTCCTCCTCTCTGGCTGCGACCTCTCCGCGCGCGCAGCATGTCTCCGTACCTTAGGCTTTTTTTCAGCTCCTCTGATTTTCCTTCTGGTTTTCTCTTTCCTTCTTGTTGTAGAATTTTCAGTCAGTCGACTACCTGTAGCTCTGGGCGATGTCCACTCTACATTTTAGTTGTATTCC